ACGCGATGAACGATTGTGTGCACGCGAATACACGCGCGAGAGAAAGAGATGCGCTTGCCTGCCAAATTGTCAAGACATCGCACGCACGAACAATTTTGTTCTCGTGTCAGGGAATATATATTTTCTAACACACGTGATCGCGCGTGGACTATCAATATTCTACAGTAGAAAGATTGGATAAATTTGGTGCCAAATTATATATTCATCGTTGAAAAACGATTAAAGCATTTTTAAAATTTTCATTTGTTAGAAATATGAAATGCGTGTACTTAAGTAGAAAAGTTTTAATTAATTATTCATTTCAAATACAACTATAAACATATGTAAAATTTGTTATTCATTCAGAGTTGGATTTGTATATGGAGTTTATCTCATACAAGTGGCAAAACATACAGGATTATCTCGGTTTTTCTACTACATCGTTTTTCCTCTTCTTTGAATTAGTTAGTTATCGCGCAACTATGTAACGATTATCGCATAGCTGACACAAGTTAATAGATAATTGCTGAACCGTGATTGTTATCGAGCACTGTATATAATAGCAGAAATATGTGTAAAAGATTTTATTTTCACTTCTCTATTGTGTAATATACATACGCATAAAAACACTAGATGGTACAGAACGTTATTTGGACATTATTACTCTCTTCCTCTTTCTATTTTATATATATATATATATATATATATATATATATATTTCTATCTTTGTTTCTGTGCATGAAGTTTTAAAGCGCATAAAGTTTTAAATTTTCAGATAGTATCGTCAATTGAATTAACCATATGAACAAATATAACACTGGTAGTAGCAGCATATGTACATGTACATATTCACGCGATAAAATCATTATCAATATTTGCAGTGATTATTTGAGTGATTACTTTTATAGATTTGCTATCAAAATATTCTGCGAGATAATTATTTAAAATTATCTTGATTCTACGTGTCTCGCATTAATTCTTCCTGAATGTCAAGATTTTATTTTCAGTGGTAGATAAAGTTTTAATATATTTTTATATTAAGTTTTTTACGAATATTTTATTGTATTTTATTATATCATATATATGTACTACAAAAAATTCTACATTTACATATCTATATCTTACGTATCTTTATCTCTTACATTGATTATCGTTGTTATCGCTTTATCGATAACCAGAAAAAATAGCATCTCAAGATTACGTCGTAGAACTATGTGAACTAAGCGATTTTCATTGATTACAATAAAGCCGATGAAGTTTCTCGCAATGCACAATAATATTAAGTAATCGAACCAACGGGTACCAAGTGCTGCTTCGTCATTAACTAACCGCATTTTGCATAATATTGCCGTGGTAAACGCGGGTCGATGACTCCGACGGTAATTATTTGAACACTGGGAGACAAAATACCATATTTTTATTCCTTCCTCCCCCTCCCCGTGAAGCAAGAAATGTAGACATTACGCGCTATAAATAATAATAATTTATTATATTTCCAGTGTATCTGACTGCCATTTAAAGTTCATTACGAGAAAACAATTTAGTTTTCGTGTGTAATCTTCGCGAATCTATAATTCGCGCGAAGAATGCTTTGATATACTTCTTTTTTTTTTTTTTTTTTTTTTTTGATTGAGACTAGTTGTGAGACAAATAGCAGCGAATTTATTGGTCAGTCATTGATTAGACGCCAGGAAAGACAAAGAGGAAAGATGTCAAGAGTCTTTAACGTCACAGTCCATTTACCGCGTTAGAAAATAAACCTGAAATAAATTGGTTCACTGTCACACAGCAATGTTTACCGAAGGAAAGTTTCTTCTTGCATGCGATAACCTGCGAGAACCCAGATTCGTAGGTAACAAAAATACAAAAATATACAGAAATAACTAAGACGTATGTCACGTTGCTTATTTATGATGGAACTCAATTCGGGAAATCTGAAAGTGACTGACAGTCGTATTTGTGTGATCGCTATTTATATAAATTTTCAGCGCTCTCTCTCTCTCTCTTTCATTATCTGTTTATTTCTTTTTTTCCCTAATAAACAAGAAATAACGCTTTCAAATTTTCTCCTATTATCCAGAATTACATCAGAACGTATCCTCAATTCTTAATTGTAAAAGAAAGAGAAAGAAAAAGAGAGAGAGGAAGAGAGTGGGAGATGAGGGGAGAGAATAAAAAGATAAGCAACCAATATTTCCCTTGTAGCCAGATTTGTAATGATAAAGAAGACGGAGGTGGAGATAAATAATGTTGTAACCGCGGAGCATTTTTTCTCGACTCCGAGAAAGGAACAGTAGGTCACCCGATGTGACAGAAAGCGCAGGGAGTCTCGATGTTTCTTTCTTGGATTAGAGACAAATGGTTACCCTGACCTCCTCCAATTATATGACAAGCAGGTGCATCATGAACGCGCTGCGAGAGGTCAATTTTTTAACCTACTGGAAATACAAAGTTTGCACTTACGTCTATAAATAGTTAATAATTATGTAGAAGATAAATAGTGTTTGTATAAACTTGAAAAACCAAACAAGTGTCAAGTCATACATTAGTATGTTCGTTACCTATTCACGTTACCGCGCGCTAGTTCGCTGGTCCAACGGTTTCCGCACGACTTTCGGCTTCTCTCTGTCACTTGATTCAATGTACGACGGTATAAGTACATTTTCTGAATTATTGTGAGCAACCGCTTCTTCAATTTTACATTAATCCTAACGTGTTTTTGTCTTGTTTTGTTTTTTCTTTATTACATGCACATCGTGTTGCTCTTTCTTTTCGCTATATCTATATCAGAAATTGTAGTTGATATTTTGACGATTGTTAGAATTATATAAACCATAGTATTCTTTATGGCAAACTGGTTTATTATAAATAATCGCATTATCTCTCGAGTATACTTATTATCACGTAATAAAACAACATTTAGAAAGAAAACACTCTCTCTGTTTTATTATTTATTCGGTATACAGTCTGATTAATCGACCATAGTCAACAACTTTTGTTTAATCGACCATGGCTGAGTGTGGCAGCAAACGTACGTGTTAATAATTATGTCGCATTAACTTGGAAGAATGTATCACTTTTGACCTAATTTTCTCTTTGGCAGAAATAATGTTTAAAAGTTTTTCTATTATATATTCTTTTAACTGAATATATTGTTTTCTGAAAAAGGATGTGCACTTGTCATCTGTATTATTGTAAATCTGTACTGCGACAAAACTAGGACGCAATTTTCCTCATCCTTTCCTGCATCTGAGAGAACAAGGCTGTCCGGGCAATGGGTCAACGTGTTAAGGATTTGTATGAGAAAATCCGTTCTCATCGTTAATTGCATCTCCGGGTCCAGAGAATGCGCATCTCTCCTCGCGCCGATCATGCGAAGAGACAATAAGAGATATTCGTCTCCCTCTTCTTTCTCCGTTTCTTTTCCCGCGGTTGCAGTTGTTTCGCAATTTCCTTCGCCGCAACTATCGTATCGGAGATACTGATTGACAAAAACTTCCGATTGTTGCACACTGCGCGCGCTGCAATTGCGCTGTGCAATTACCACCGCGAACGGAATTGGAGGATATAACGTCGTCGTCGTGGCTTATGACATTTTAACGATCACACGGGAGAAAAATTTCGTGATTCCTTTTGTAGTTTATTTAAGGAAATATTGCAACGCGCGCGAGTGAAGAATTCTAAATCTTCGCTAATGAGTACGTCTTCAAAAACAAAAACATTTTCTATTCAATGTGCATTACGAATAAGCACATGAACGATGTAGCGTGCTCGCGAATTCATTGCAAAAAGCGAAGGTTACGCGGTAAACAACAACCAGGACTGAAATAGAGTTACAAAAGAAACAATCTTGTCATGTCTTCTTGTGGAAGTCTTAATGAAATCCAGACTCGACGCGATAATTAAAGTGCGCGCATTTAATTGCTCGGTACGTTAAGTGATTTCGTCCAACGTAGGAATTACTTGTTCAAGGCATTGTGAAGACACCGCGAAGAGAATGTCCACAAACCGTAATCCCCGGAAGTTACATTAAGGAGTGCATATATATATATATATATATATATGTATATATACGTATCGTTCGAATCATCGTTACATAGACGATGTCTACGAGATTATCTTATTGTATGCGCGTCGCAGATATGTATATTTACGATGATTGAACAATTTTGCTGGCTGGCTACATTCGGTATATTGTTGCACTACTTTACACAGTGGCCTCGATTTTATGCAACAACGTTTGCGACACACGAGAGAAAAGTCGGAGAAGAATCGTCCTCGTTTGAGTATCTCTAATTTTATCTTTTAATGAATCTTTTTTTATAATTATTTGTCGATATCTTCTCAATCACCTTTCGAGTGATTGATATATATGTATATATATACATGTGTGTGCAATATTAAAAAAAAAACAGCATATTTTACGTAACGAACTCTCATCCGGGCTCCAGTAATATAACTAATGAGATTCTGCGTGCAAATGATGATCCCTTATTATCTTCAAAGAGTTCTCAGTACATTTATATATGTATATATAAATTATACATTTTCTAATTATGCATTTTCCTTACCGAGGCATCGCGGAATATTCATGAAGAAAACGTATGTTGCTAATCGAATTAATTCAATTTCCGATATTACTGGGATAATTAGCATCTTTGAAGCGCATAACGGCTATTAATACATACATATGTTGATCGTGATGTGTTTTCCGCGATTGGGAAAGCGCGTTCACTCGCGGGTCTTTACTCGCGCATTTATCGTCATTAAGAGGCTAACATATAACCAACACCTTTTAATGTATTGCATCTGCCTGCTGTGCGCTTAATTGCATTGAAAAAAAAAAAAACGGGGTGAGTTTCTCAAAAGATTGCGTGATTGATACATCGGGAAAGAGTAAAGTCATAATTGAGTGACATTTTTGATAAACAAATATACAAAATTATTCTCAAGTAGGAAAGAAGCAATGGAAATGAAATTTATAGTTTTATTTCGGTGCAATGAAATAAAATCAATAATGTAAATTTTAAAAAAACTTCATGTACCTGTGTTATACATGTGACATACATATCTGTTATCAGTTTAAACATATTTTCTTCTACATTTTACATTTTTCTACATTCTATATAAAGTTTTATATTTCAATGTTTACATATATAAAATTGTTTCTGTCTCTATTCATTTGTGTAGATTTGAAAAACTTGAAGAGAAAGAATTATGAAGATACACTCGTCACTCGTCCGTGTGACTTCTCGACAATATCTTCGTTAGCAAGGACCGTCGTGTTTGTAAGCGATATCTGCGAAGAGTAAATTCCGTGTTATTTGATTTGAATGTTTAATCAAGTATCAATCGGGAAGCGTGCTTTTATTTTCACAACAAGAAACAAAATAATCCACTCGCACTTTCCGCACCGTCTCATTTCAACACGAGAAAATACGAGATATTATCTTAATCAAGTCAATTATCACCTATGTCGTACATGAATATCTTTGCTTACGGAATGCGTAATGTAAGAATAGAATTTATCTTGTAAGATCGCTCAATAGGATTTATCTATAAGATCGTCTTTTTTGCTTTTCTTTTATTGTGTATACACAAAGAATACACAACAGCGTCGAGACATTTTCGTGTCTTTAACGAGATATTCTCGGAGTCTCGAAAATTACGTTTTTCCTGTTGTGACGAAAATCCACGTATCCTCGTCGAGGCGGAATTCAAACTTTTGCTACGCGAGGTAATTTTACGCGACATAATCAAGTTAATGAGCGAAGAACTTTTATACAAGAAGAGCCGAGCGAAAATGCGTTCGCACGAACGCGCAGATTCGCTCTTCTCTTTGTAGAATTTATGTACTACCTGTATAATCTGCACGTGTGTGTCTCTCACTTCTTTCCGGGGAACGTAATCTGGCGCACCAAAGAGCCTCCGGACTCACGTAAGATTTGCCGTTGGTGCCGCATACGGGTTGTCTGTGATCCTCTTCCGGAATCGAGCCGCACGGCTGGTCATCCGGTCCAGAACACGGACCGTGATGTTTCAGGAAAAGATCTGCGTGAAAGTAAGACAAATACCCGGTCTTGTCACTACGTCGTTACATTGTAAAAGTTTCGCTGCGTCGTCTACGTTGATCTTCATTTATATTTCGTTTTAATTTAATGAACGATTCGATTGTAACGAAGACGATGTGTGATGTGAGTTTTAAGAAAATATCAGAATTTACACTGTTACGTTGTGAACTTTCGTACGTTTTACAAAGTAAGCGGTTTTCGCGCGAACTTACATTTATCTTGACGAGTGTGGCATTGCAAGTGATGTATGTTTCGATACGTCAGACCGTCATTTCCGCAAACCTGCTCGGCAGTGTTGTTCGCACTTGTATTCTGCATTTCCGCGCAAGAATCGTGGCTGTGCGTATTGCATTCTCCTTGAAAGATCACCTTTAAACCTACATTAAAAAAAAAAAAAAAAAAAGTAAGTAATGTTTTCATTGAACAACGCTGCTTCTTGCGCAAGTGAAATAATGCACTCATAAAATTAACGAGAATATTGTCACGTACGTGGTTGATAGCAAAGAAACTGAAAAGGATTCGGATATGTGACTCCGTCCGATGCGCAAATAGGATTCCATTCGTATATCACGTTCGCAACTTTGCAAACCGACGCACCGTAAAGTTTACGAACAAATTCCACGCGGCAACCACCATCGTGAACAATATGTAAGTCTAGAAAAAAACAAATAATTTTTTAAGGTGATTAACCAATATTATATATAATGACGTGTATAATAAATGTAAGATATATATATATGATAATAATAATAATAATAACTATGATAATAAATGTTTTTATATGTTTCATATATTTTTCATACTTTTTCATTTTTCAAATATTTTTTTAATTTGCATAATCTCGTGACATTAATATCAAATATACGCGTGTGTGTAGGTTCGATTCTTGAACTGTGAATAATATTTCACACTTATCGCGGTAATTAGAATCTTAATTTAATTTTTGCTTTTGCGTAACTGTTTTGCTAATCTCTTACTGGGATTATTTCGTTGCAGACACTTGAGTTGTGCCACGTTTTGATAAGTGAATCCGTTGCTAGCGCAGACCGGATTCACTCCGTAATGTTCAATGCCGTTTCTGTAACAGTGGTCTTTCTGCTCGCATTCTGTCATCGACATGACTGTCAAATCTGGAAAAAAAAAAAGATAAATTACAAAAAAGAAGAACCTTTATCACGAAAATTTCTTTGAATTACAATGACAACAAATGAATGTGAAATAAAAAATAGATTAAAAAATTATATAAATAACGTGAAATTCTTCCACATGCATAAAAAAATTCGTAAATCGTTACAGTCATACAGCAATGGAGGCAATTTTGCGAGTAATATACGCGTACATGTCGTTGGACTTTGTCATTTTAGCCGAACCGTTAAGCATGCATATACATACGTGAGAGTTAGGAAAAGCAAAATAACACCTGCCGGACGCTTACCTTTTAACTGTTTCTGACGAACGCATAGAAGTGATTGCATATTAGTGTAAATCTTACGATCCGAGCCGCACACTGGCTCGTAATGTAAATTAACGCTGCAATATTCTTCACTTTTCAAGCAGGGACCAGAATGCAACGTGGCAACTGAAAAATATTTTATAAATTATTGGAAATTAAGTAATTTTTTATTTCCTTTGTATATATCGTCATTTTGTCTAAATTTATATTTATAAAATTTTATAACGAATGTTATTTGTAATATATCTCTATGTAACATGAAGACTTTTTCTCTCTCTTTTCTCGTTCACGTTAATAGATATTAGCAGAGAAAATGTTTATGCTATTTTTAACATAAATCATGTTCTAAATGACAATTACTCTTTTCTATTCCAGAATTTGTTAGTTAAATCGACGGTTGTTCTGAAAATTAAAAAATTAACTTACCAATCTCGCGACTATGATGATTTTTGCAATCTAAATATAAACTATTAGCATATGTCATACCATCTTCTCCGCAAATCAGACCGCCGTACATGTCACCATTATCGAAAATCGTGCAATTTTCATACAAGGCTACTTTGTCTTGTAAAGTGAGTGCAAATACTATTTTGTTGCATATTCCGATCTCTGAAAGATTACAAATTTTTTTTTATATTTTGTCTGCTACAACTTTCTTTCTACAAAATTTATATAAATTATAGTTTTCACTTAATCACAAATTTGAGTTAAGCTTATTGAAGAACATTAATAAAACACAATCTGACCGAAAAGAAACAAAATGTATTGCGCAATTGAAAACGACATTGCTGAATTTTGAATACAGTTTTCAACGGCAGAAGAACGACTGTGTTCGCTCGCGCAATTTCACCGTATTTCTTTCTCTTCAGTTGAAAGCATTTCTATAGATTTCTCACGTTGCGATAAATCATGTAAATTCCATATCGAATACGTGTCGCTACCAATCAACATTAGCGAAATCATTCGTAACAATGTGGCATTGTCGTTATTACTTAAATTTCTTCTGATATCAATTTGTGAGTAATAATGCGCCAGTCTAAACTAAATGAGATAATAATCTCTGTAATAGATTTTTTTATTAATCTATTAGTCCTTAGAACTTTTAAAAACATTTTAAGTATTTTTTTTATATATTTAACATGTTATCCATCTACATACATAACGTGACTAAAGTCACATAACTTTACTTTAGTCACGTGTTTTTAAAAACATTTACATCCTGTCCAGTTAGGGTTCATATCTCGGTCGGTTAAGTTCACACTTGAATTATCAGAATAGGAACCTAACCGGTCAAAATGTAAATTCAACTTGTCAAGATGTGAACCGTTCGCCGTGAATACAGCATGGAATAGAACCATGTTCACGTTTGGTCCATATCGCACGTACCGACAATCGCTTGTGGACATGGCTGCGTAGTTCCACTGTGCACCATCCGTGGATATGCGCTACTTTACGGTGGCGGTGAAGCTATCGCAGAAACTCTTAGGTCCGAATTCATAGTCGTTTTACAAATCTTAGATCTCGACTCCAATCTCAAATTTCTCTTAGAATGGCGTATAGATTAACCCAATTCGGTCCACTGAGCCATTTTTGCACCAAACCATGGCCTGACCGCTCTCATTCTTCTCTCTGCTATTACAGTTTGTATTGTATATAGCCCTGGCTGCTCTCAGTCTTTTCTCTGATTTTAATCAATCATTTTTTTCTTTTAAATGCGTATATATACAGGGTGTCCCAGAATTGCCGTACAATCTCTCGTAGGCAGGTAGAAGGAGTAAAACTGAGTCAAAAAGTCCTGAATCATTTTTTTCTATTATTTATAATAAAAGAGTAATTATTGAATAAATCAGGCCAATCAGCGCAGACCTTTAGCCAGGCGCACGTCAGTGAGCGCTCACACACACCAGGCGCGCGGCTCACTGACGTGCGCCTGACTAAAGATCTGCGCTGATTGGCCTAATTTACTCAATAATTACTCTTTTATTATAAATAATANAAAAAAATGGTTCAGGACTTTTCGACTCAGTTTTACTCTTTCTATCTGCCTACGAGACATTGTACGGCAATTCTGGGACACCCTGTATATATAGTCTATGCGGACTTGTGCAATGTAAACTCCAATTATGTACTAAATATTATTTAATAAAAATTTTTTAATATTCGAATTTGCATTTTATTTTTGAGGAAGTTTTCTCAGACGATAACGTCATTCACGGCATGCGAACCGATACTGACGCCATTTTCATTCACATCAGCCACGTCCTAACTTTATGTCGCGAAGTACGATGATCTTTTAATCTGGCGGTTGGTGAAGTCATAAAGATAATTTGATTCTTCAAAGTAGTTGATACAATTATAATAATCCAAGGAACAATAGCAAAATGGTATGTAAAGACAGCGAGTTAATCAATTTTTTTAAATCGATAACAATGTTGATGAAACATCTGTCCGTTTGTCGGATTGACACTTGCTTCTCGCGAACACGTTGTCACTTTGTAATGTCAAAATCCAGTTTTTGAAAATTAGCAGAATTTAAAGAATGAGATTAATAATCAGATTTCGTGAAAGAATGATATGTCTTGAATCGATTGTTTTTTTCCCCTTAGCCTTTGAGGTTAGATATTAAACGGAAGTTAACAGCGAGATCTGACAGAGTGAAAAGCGTGGATCTTCATCCAACCGAACCATGGATGTTGTGCTCCTTGTATCAAGGCAATGTGAATATCTGGAATCATGAAACCCAGACCTTGGTCAAAACATTTGAAGTATGCGATCTACCTGTGCGAACAGCAAAGTTTGTGCCACGCAAAAATTGGGTGATTACAGGATCTGATGATATGCAAATTAGAGTGTTTAATTACAATACCTTAGAACGAGTTCATTCCTTTGAAGCGCACAGCGACTATGTCAGATGTATAGCGGTGCATCCAACACAGCCATTTATACTCACAAGTAGTGGTATGTCAATATTAAATTTTTCAGTTTTCTATCAAACTAAAAAACATTTATTTTCTTCAAATTAGTATAGTGTAATGTTAATTTCATCTTTTATATAAAATGTGTTTAAATTACAGATGACATGTGGATTAAATTGTGGAACTGGGAGAAATCCTGGACGTGTCAACAAGTATTCGAGGGTCATACACATTACGTTATGCAAGTTGTATTTAATCCAAAAGACAACAATACTTTTGCCAGTGCATCCCTGGATAGAACAGTCAAAGTGTGGCAACTAGGTTCACCTACCGCTAATTTCACGCTAGAAGGTCACGAGAAAGGTGTCAATTGCGTGGATTACTACCACGGAGGGGACAAGCCTTATCTAATATCAGGTGCTGATGACAGATATGTCAAAATATGGGATTACCAAAACAAGACCTGTGTACAGACCTTGGAGGGCCACACTCAGAACATTTCCGCTGTGTGTTTCCATCCGGAATTACCGATTGTCCTTACCGCTTCTGAAGATGGCACTGTTAAAATATGGCATGCGGGGACTTACAGGCTGGAGTGTTCTCTTAATTACAGCTTCGAAAGAGTATGGACCATCGCATGCATGCGCGGTTCGAACAACGTTGCTATAGGATACGACGAGGGCAGTGTTATGGTCAAGGTTGGTCGGGAAGAACCTGCCGTGTCGATGGATTCGCTAGGCGGAAAAATTGTCTGGGCACGTCACAGTGAGATTCAACAAGTGAACTTGAAGGCACTGGGCGAGGAGGCGCAGGACGGAGAACGATTACCATTGACCGTCAAGGATATGGGAGCTTGTGAGATTTATCCGCAAACTATCCAGCATAATCCGAACGGACGATTTTTAGTAGTCTGCGGCGATGGAGAGTACATCATATACACGTCTATGGCGTTGAGAAACAAAGCGTTCGGACAGGCAGCGGAATTCGTGTGGGCGGCGGATTCGAGCCAGTATGCCGTGAGAGAAAGCAACACAACGGTGAAGGTCTTCAAAAACTTTAAAGAGAAAAAAAGCTTCAAACCAGAATTTGGAGCAGATGGTTCGTATATATCTTTGATTCTTTTGTTTTTTTACGGTAATTCGATTTCTGCATTTTGTTATTTGTTTTCAGGCATCTTTGGCGGATTTCTACTCGGTGTGTCGTCCGGATCCGGTCTGTCTTTCTTCGATTGGGATACATTGAATTTGGTTCGTCGCATAGATATACAACCGACGCATGTATATTGGGCCGAAAACGCCTCTTTAGTAACATTAGCCACAGCAGATCAGTATTTTATACTAAAGTATCACTCAGATGCCGTTGCTAATTCAGAAAATGCCGAGGATATCGAAAATGCTTTCGAAGTACGTGTGTTTGTCTACTTTATTATTTCAATCGACTTTGTTTAGCTTTTATTTCCAACTTTTATAAATGTTTTTTTTTTTCCAGATGGTAGCAGAAATGAGTGAAGTAGTGAAAACCGGTTTATGGGTCGGCGACTGTTTTATCTATACTAACAGCGTCAATCGCATCAATTATTTTGTCGGTGGTGAAGTAGTCACAGTTTCTCATTTAGACCGACCAATGTATTTGTTAGGATATGTGCCAAGGGACAATAGATTATATCTGTGTGACAAAGAACTCTCTGTTGTCTCTTACTCCTTGTTGCTGTCGGTGCTGGAATATCAAACCGCGGTTATGCGAAAGGATTTCGAAACTGCTAATAGAGTATTACCAACTATACCCAAAGAGCATCGAACGAGAGTAGCTCACTTCCTGGAGAAGCAGGTATGCATTTTAACTTGACGTTTATCGTCGTACAAAAACGCTTAGAGCAAATTAAGAACTGTCTTTCTTTACATCTTTATCACAGGGTTTCAAGGAGCAAGCTTTAGCAGTGTCCACGGATCCCGAGCACAGATTTGAATTGGCTCTCGCACTTGGTAATCTGGCGACCGCACACGAACTCGCCAAAGAAGCGAACAGCCAGCAGAAATGGCGACAATTGGCTTCTCTCGCCACCCAAAAGGGCAAATTGTGCCTAGCGCAGGAATGTCTACATCAGGCGCAAGATTTCGGCGGCTTGTTGTTACTGGCCACTAGTACGGGAAATGCAAACATGATACAGAAACTTGGCGCGCTCGCGGACGATACAGGAAAAAACAATATCTCCTTTTTGTCGAACTTTATTTTGGGCGACGTGGATAAGTGTCTCGATATTTTGATTAAGACGGACAGAATTCCTGAGGCAGCATTCTTTGCTAGGACGTACGCGCCTAGCAAAATCTCCGGTATCATCAAATTGTGGAAAGAGAAGCTTTCCGCAGTTAGTGAGAAAGCCGGACAGAGCTTGGCAGATCCTAAACAATACGAGAACCTCTTCCCCGGGTACAGAGAAGCTCTGAAAGTGGAGAAGTTTTTGCGAGAGGAAAGCAAGAAAAAGATTCCAGCTTCTGCATTTCCTACTGTTACGGTACGCATGCGTTTGAACGCATGATATATTTCTAAATTATTAGAGATAAATTAAATTTATTATTAAAACTAAATTATGTATTTTATATATTTTTATAGTCCAATAATGAGCGAAAACCTTTGGAAGAGATGTTGGCCGCCGAGCAAGCGGGATTGTTTCAGTATAAAGATGGTACGAGCAATGATTTCGAAACAAAATCGAGTGATCCGGTGACCGATTGCAGTCAGAGATTACAAGATCTTTCAGTATCTGGAATGGATATACAGAATATTTTGAGTAAAATTTCCATCTCGGCATCAGAAAAAACAATGGCAAAGTCCATGAGTAGTTCCAGGCCTCTCACAGTCGACGATGATGATTTGGATATCGACTTGGAGATTGATGAGAACATCGACATTACAGTAAGTTATTTACATTATTACACTATTATGTGTTTATGTAAAATCATTTTTTGTGTATTTGATGCACACATAAGTATTTGTGTGTGAGTGCGAAAATCAACAACAGATCATTAAAAACTGTCCCGGTGTAACAGATATATGTATGAATGCGAGAGAATAGAGGTACTCTTTCTCTTTCTTTTCTCGTGAGCTTTTGCGAAAGACCTCGAGAGCTTGTTTGCTCCCATGCAGTCACGCCGTATTTTGTTTACAGCCTTGTTGCCATAATATTCGACTTGGGAGTCGAACCAGACCCTTCCTACCGTACGGTTCCGACCATTACTACATTTTGTCACGCTCCACCTTCCATGTCCTCTTTTTCTCCATTCACTCACGGGAGTGAACTTAGAAATATTGCGTTTCGATATTTTCCACTTTTTACGTTGCAATATTTGATCGCGCGGACATAACATTTGTGTTACAGTTTGCTACGCACAGTCGAGAAAATATTTCTGCAGTTTTCAAAGCTTTCTATGTTTTTTCTGTTTAGGGTGTCAATCTCGACGACGACCTTCTCGAGGAAGATTAACCATTCAACCCAGTCATTCCGCGCAAAGAAAAAAGAAAATTGTGTCACTTAGACTTTAGTATTAAAAATACGAAATATCTGCGCGCAAGTGTGTTTATATAAACACCGTATAAGATAATACACAGACACGTAACTGCTATCACGATTAAAGATTAAATATATTAAATATATTGTTAATATAACAAAGGAAGTATGTGTGTTTGTGTTATAATCTTTTATCTCTCTCTTTTTTGTCGTTAATATCTCTTCTAGATAGATGCAAACTAACATTCGGTCATTTCCGATTTTTTTCCACGGATTAAGTTTTAAAAATACGAATGTGGATGACGGACCATTTCTTCGATTTTGAAAACAAAAACTTCAATATGGATCTTTTACTATCTCAGCGTGAAAGATTGCATCATTTTGATGCGAAGAATAAAAGCGCCATATTATCCGTTTCCCGTCGTTCCATGGATACCCGATACATTAGTCTATCGTGCTTATTTCGAATTTTCGGGCGGGAGTGCGTGCGTAAAAGCTCGAGTCGAATCGATATACTCGTACGTGTCACAAGGTGCCAAGGAAAAACAAAGAGGTACAGTTAGCACGAGCCGTACGTGCTCCGCCGCGCACTCACGGAAGAGAGAATAAGCGCGCGCGTGTTGAAGCAAACTATATTCGTTATTAACGCCAACAGGAAAAGGAGGTGCGAAGAGTTAAACTTGTCTAAGTAACCGAGTAAACTTCAGCAAACACGCTTTATTGTATTGTAACGACTTTTTCTATATTATATGTATATATATATTTATCTTGTATATTGAGAGCGTTTCTCTCTGATTATTTCTATTGATTTAGAAATATACATATATTTTCGTGAAATATACAAATATATATATATATATACAGGGTGTCCCGTAATTGCCGTCTTACCGCTCGTAGACAGGTAAAAAGGGTTATTCTAAGACGAAAAGTCCCATACCACTTTGGAAGTTCGCGATAATTAACGAAATATTAATTAATAAAGATCCGCTAATCAGCGTGCATCCAGCGTAAGGACAGCCCAGTCTGTCGCGCCGTAGCGACGGAATACAATGCACATGTTATTCTATTAGCTCTTTCCATTCTGTCGCTACGGCGCGACAGACTGGGCTGTCCTTACGCTGGATGCACGCTGATTAGCGGATCTTTATTAATAAATATTTCGTTAATTATTGCGAATCTTCCAAAGTGGTATAGAATTTTTTGTCTTAGAATAACCCCTTCTATCTACCTACGAGCGGTTATGAGACACCCTGTATATATATATATATACAATTCAAAAAAAATATTTTTTATAGAAACAATATAAAAATTATCGTATAAACTATAATTTTCAATAGCTGTTATAAAACGCACAAGAATAGATATTATTATTGTATTTTTAATTATTGTAACATCAGAAGAATTAATTTGCATGTTTGTTGTCTCACGTTCTTATTATATTTACACACATTCAGTTAGATATACATACATCATGTGTGTCATATATTTACAGCATTATTATTTCCCTTATATCACATTTATGATACACAGTTTATATGTATATTCGTAGTGTATGTCCCTATAATTTTCAGAAAATTGAGACGAGTTATTAAATATCTACATTAATTCCCGTGTGTCACACGTCATAGGTGTCATCCGTAAACACGCGACAAAACTTACTCCTGATAAATCACAAAACAAAACCAGTAAACTTGCTCTTATATTTATATTGGAGAAACCAGAAGATAGAAGCTTCCAATTGTAAAACCGACACGAAGAGAAAAGTGATCTGCATGTTGCGCCTGCTACCCACGCATGGATTTACAGGCGCTCTGTCGGTGGGCGAAAAAGAAAAAAAAAGAGCAGGTAGACGATAGAAGGAGCAAGAAGGGAAGAGAGTACAGAGTTGAAGAAGCAGAAGAAGAAAAAGATAGCCGGCTCGTCGTATTCGAAAATAGAAACAGCCGCGTTGACACTTCGCTACAAATTGTCCGCGTCATGACGCCGCTTCGCTTTAAGAGCCACGCGTTTCTCGCACGTTTGCCGGTTTTTCGCTCTGAGAAGAAAAAACCTACTAACCCAAGGACGACACGCTAGTCAATGTGGATAGATCTTGTTGTTTCGTACTTTTACACAGTCCAAACACACATTATCTTCCTTTGCATCAATTATTTTTTTAACAATTGAACATTTATTTCGAAGTACATGCACAATTATTACTGAATTTTTTACTTGCAAAATAAATGGTGATGGTACAATGGATTTAACTTTCTAGATGATAAGACGATGATGATAAGAGTTCGAGTTGAACATACGAAGGAGTCGCGTTTGAATTCTAGTTTTGCGTGAGCCGTCGGAAATTTATGACTCCCAGTTTCCACGTGGAGGATCATCATAAATCGGTCGAGCGATACGTGACACACTGTTAGCTCGTTCTCGGCCAATTTTTTTTACGACGCTCACAATTAAATCCACTTTTAACGACCGCACATTACGCGCCGCAGTATCTAACTCTTGTGCTATAATCGAATTAGAACATCCTTGCGGCAAAAATAAACGAATTTTATTGTCCGTTCTTTTTCTTCTGAAACAGATCTGCCGGAAAATAGGAAATTATTTCTTTCGACATAGAAACATCCAAGACGCTCGTAATCGGGAAATTAATTTGGCGCACAAACTTTATCATGCTGAACGCAATCACTTTGTTTCATATTTATTTTCTTCTGACTGAATAAATAATTGCAATGTAAACTTATGTAATCTCTAAACTTTATTTTGTATATTTGTGTTGAAGGTAGAACAAAATATGATTTCTTCACAGATTTGCGCGAGCGTAAACTTTTCTCGCGTGTGTCATTCCGATTAATATTCGATTATCTTATTTTTCTTTGTGCTCTCAGAAGACAGAGAGAACTTCACTGTCGCAGGAGAGAGAAGAGAGACACACACGTGCGTGAAACATCCCGTGAAGCTGCTAATAGTCGCCTAAACGGTCGGGCACGGTCGTTCTCAACCGTCGCTATATGTCACCACTAACTTCTACTTACACGCATCGCCACGCACGATGCACATGCGTGTGAATTTTTCGTGCGTTCTTCGCGCTCCTCCGTGCAGAGCTTCTTAAACGCGCAGTATTTTTTACTCGTTTCTTTTTTCTTAGTTCGAATTACATATATTTTGGAAGCAAAATCTATTTGAAATCACGAGAGAGAAAATTATGATTTCCATCTATAAAAAGTATCAAATTGGGGAAATCAATTTATTCAATTTATTTTATTACATATTGTTTATACGTTGATTTAAATCTACTTAGCACTCTTCAATGTTTAAGAACCTATTGAATTCGACGAGACACAAGACAAAATTGCTTTTGGTAGAGATCGCTTGTTGCGCGCGTGTATATGTTCATTTCACGAACACAGCTCGCGATTGCGACTCAAAGTTGCATACAGCTGTTGCGCGTCATTCAACGTTGTGCGTGTTTCTCTATACGATGCTCCGGTGGATTCGGCGTGTCTCGAATTTGTCCTAAATTCGTCGAGAAATCTGAATAAGTTTGAGAAAGAATGAAATATCTTGCAAATATATAATTTTTTCCTTTAATAATTTTGCTAGACAAAACCCGTTTATTTAATAAAATATCTAATTAAAAATCTCAAACTTAAGTCGGCCACCAAATAATTTTTTTTTGAAAGTTCGGATAAACAGAAATGGTTGTACGAGCAGCCACTACGATCTTATCTCAGCAAGCAACGCTCCACCTCTCCGGTGTCGACTATGTTTCTCCACCTCCTCCGACCTGGAAATACCTGTTTTACTTGTTCCACACAGACCAATCACAGAGCGTGGCATCTCGCGTCGAAGAGGATACCATCGCCATCATTTTTGAAGAACAAAAATCTATCATTTAATAAATATATTGTTTCACCAGTTTAAATAACCGAATAAAAAGATAAACATAAAAAGACAAATAACGTTCAATATTTAATATTTATACGCGACAAAAAGAGACGGAAAAACAACTTGTGCCCATGGTGAGCCATCGACTTTTGTGCCATTATTTCGGAACGTCCATCCGTTCTTCGCGATTACACATCCGACAACTAGTTAACTACTTTTGCTTGTGGCCCAAGAGAAAGTCTCTATCGACGTCATCGACGTGCTCTTTCGCACTGTTCTCAGGTCAGAAAATAAAATGCACGTGTTATTCCTGCTCTGATGCACGCACGGTGTTGACGCGTTTCCAACTCCGGTTGCCGTTTCACTCGTTCCAGATTTTACCGGGAATATTAAAGCCTACGGCGCGCGCATACAGATTGTTTGCAAAACACCGTGCTCGCAAACATTTGCCAGCCCCATTGGTTCAGTTCTCTTCCTCCGATATATACTTTTCTCTTCGACATCCGGGAGAATTCTACTTGGTTGCACCAACCAAGCTGCGTAAAAACTATTTTCAACCAACATTCTTTTTTGTTTTTTAACGGATCGATTATTTCGATGATGCGCTACGATGTTTTAAGCAAAACAAATATTGTTTAGATAGAAAATTTCAGACATTGTGTTAAATAAATAAAATATTTTACACACAATATTTAAATATAGGATTATATATAATTTCTGAATTTTTAAACTTGTAAAAAACTTGTAAAAAAAACTTATAAAACAAATCCTTGAATAAAACAAGTCTTTACAAGAAAAAAGAAAACCAAAGTCGATGCTTTTGTTGATGATAAATAATCAAGATTTATTTTATCATTTCTTACAGTCAGTATTACATTTTCTTTGCACATGAATTTTCGCCAAATTACTGTATACATACATATACAGCTGCCACGATTTCTGTGTGGAATAACTCGAACGGTACGTTACATCTATTATATAGAAACTACCTTTATATAATAGTAATACATATATAAGAGACTAATTTATATAACTCGCAATATATTTTTCTTAAAGTCAGCGGCTAACTTTGTATCTTTACATTGTGACGTCGCAGGAATAATTTTACTCTACAGTTTACACAAGACGTGTTTGTTTTTTTTTTCCAAATAAACGTATATATAGCTCTGTAATAGCTCTGTTATTAAATATCATATGTATGTATATATCTGCGTGTGTGCATATATGTATATATGTGTGTGTGTATGTAAAAGAATTTTTTGCAACAAGACGTCTTTTTTTCTTACAGTAAATCTGCGTTTAAAAGCTGTGTAGAGTGTTACGAAATATGTTCACGTCATAAAAAAGAGAATGAAAGATCATTCGATCGCTCGATCGTGCATGTATTGTATACATACAGGCAGGGGCATAATTATGTATAAATGTCTTTATACATAAGGTTGCAATGCTTTAATAATATCCTAATATTGAAAAATGCAACTTTACATGTGTAAATGCAAAAAACATGCACGTTATTTCTCTACAAATAATGGTATAAATAATTTTATTATCAATAATTATTCATGTTAATCTTTAGGACAAAAATTTTGTTGATAAATTCGTGTTACACATTCGTGCATGTGTGTGTTTCTTCTCTATTGCGATCGGAATGACATTTTCATTCCTGAACAAGCACGTCTTCTCTCACGTAGATATTAAATACTGTCTAACAGTCGAAAACTATATGTACGAAGATAGAGGTATTTTGAAATGTTATGTCGTGAGAAAAAAAGAAACGAGAATAAAGTTTAAGAGATCGTTTTACAATCGCTTTGTTCTCATTACGCGAAATCCTCGCGACAGTTGTTAGAAATTGTAACAGATGCGTTGCGCGCGTGCATTGCCGCATTTTCGCGAAAAATTTTCATCGTTACGGTATACATAATATTATTTCGTTACGACAAGCACGTGCATCGCACATATCGCTTATATGCGCTATCAACAGTGTACGAGTGCGCTTATAGTAAAATGCAACACATGTAACGAACGCGAGCTATTTTCAACATTAAATCAACATAAAAATGACAATTACACGAATTTCACATGGGTGTTTAGCACACTGCGAGATCCACTATATCGTTATAATAATTTCTGACGCGATTTGTTTCAAACAACCATACGATAGTTACTGACTAATGTTCCCGTATATTAATCAAGAATCAGATAATTAAATACAAATCTGGGAACTCTGCGCGTCATCAAGATGTATTCACACGTGCATCGCTTACCGTTCGTTGGATCATGGCTCCATCGATCGACGATCGCGTTTTTTTAACGCCTCTACTTGTTCTGAATCACGCAATATCACGTTCTACAATCTCCATGATGTCAAATCGTCGCTCGTGCTGCTACTCCAATCCTCAGTTCACATAAAGCACTTGGAACGTGTTTGGAATTCCATGGGTGCAAATCCTGTTGTGGAGACGCTTGACGATCCCGTAGAGCCCATCATGCCGGATGGCATACCTACGCCACCGACGCTGCCAGTCGATACGGTGTTAGTCCCGGGTTCCTCCTTTACGTTCACCACTGCAATAATTAGCGATAACAATCTATAGAACGTTCCAAAATTATGAGTATTTTTTTCGGAAGGAATTTTCCAACTCGTTTGAAGGATCAATTTCTGATAAAAAAAAAAAAAAAAAAAAAAAAACAATCATGCGATCAACGCCGCAATTAAAACATGTTTTGGAACATTTTGTATATACTCTGTCTGTTACTTTGATACAGCATTATTTGAGACGTGAAATCAACGGTAATTTATAATTTATACATATCTCTATAATTAATAAAGTATATATTGTTTACTGTTTAAAACTTTTAAACTTTTATGTGAAGTAAAATAGTTTTCTTTTATATGAGTCAAAATCAGCTTACTCTCTGGCCAGTAGCATCTGCCGGGCATCATATCCGTGGTCATCGCGGAATCGTGCCTTCTGCTACACGTAGCAAAGCTGCTACCGAAGGAACCGCTGCTCATAGAACCAGGCGATCCGGCTGTTCCACCTGGAACATCCAGGTAATTGCCTTGAAACGCTTTGTCTGGTCGTTCGACATTACCCCGCTCGGCAAAAGAGGGTACAAAGTGCGAAAATAGTGACTCACTTAGTGAGGTACCCAGTTGACCGTAACCGTTCATAGTTGGGATTTGCATCGACTGCATCGGCTGCAATTGCGGCTGCAGCTATAATCAAGAATATGTAATACTTGCGATGATTTGATATCGCAACCATTACGATATCATGGATACAGAAATGTAAGCGCTGCGACTCGAAGTTTGGACAGCTTATCTTCACATCATATGTTACATCATATATTATATGAATAATATAAAATTTTTTTTATAGAGTAAAACACTTTTTCTTATTTCTAGTATAAAAAACTTACCGATTGACAATGACTATACGATAGCTGCGACTGTTGCAGACTCCATGCGCTGCAATAAAAAAGAAAAACATATTTTTTTTATTCAAAGTACAAACTTGTGTAATTAAAGAATTTAGAAAAGAATGATAACAATGAAGTAAGTTTAGGAATCGTTTCTAAATCTAAACATAACTGGAAATATAGTGTGGTTAATAACTGTCACATATATATTCGCGTGATATTTGAAAATACGAATACCTCGTGTCATACCGCGTGTACGCGGTAGGGGCGTATGAAGGGGGCGAATGTCCAAAAATGTTCTTAGGTGCCAAATGTACGTGAGTCGTCGAAAATGGATCGCCGAAAAACGATTTGTGATATGGCGCGTTTCTGTAAGGACGCTTCATTCGCCTTCGCCTTCGATAATTGCCATTTTCGAACATATCTTCGTAATGTGGATCTACGATGCGCAGACAATACGTTTTGTATAAATATTCATCACTCTCTCCTCAGAAAATTTGATGTCACAAAAATATACAAATTATAAGAATGATAGGAATTTTGTTTTATCAGAAAAAATTTATGTTTTTTATTATTCTTTCGGAATAATTAACTATATCACGAATCAGTTCACCTCTTGTGTTTCTAAAATAGACGTTTACAAATAAATTAAAATTTTAGACATTTACATGTATCGATTCCAAAAAAAATGTTTTTTCAAGTTTGCTGAGTATTTATAAATTTCCATCGATTCTTTATAAGTTGTCGTATAATTTTTATCATCAAAGTCAATGGAATGCACAGCAAGTCGTCGACAGAGATGACTTACCAAGCGTCCAGAAGTTGCCTTTCCTCTCGCCACCACCTTCTCGGGGCACCTTGACGAAACACTCGTTCAGGGACAAGTTGTGTCTGATAGAATTTTGCCATCCCTTCTTATTCTTCTCGAAATACGGAAACTTGGCGGTAATATAGGCATAGATCTCGCTGAGAGTCGCCCTTTTCTGCGCGCTGTGCTGAATCGCCATGGCGATCAGCGCGACGTAGCTGAAGGGCGGTTTGCTGTTGGCGGCGGTGGTATTGCTGTTGGTGCCATTAGCATTGTTCGTGCCGGACACGGTTGTGATCGCGGTGCCGTCCGTCGCGGCCGCGGTGGGCGTGGAAGGTGCGGACGGTGTAGGGGGATTGCTATTGGTGGTAGAGTGGAGGGCGCCCACCGGCGACGATCCCTTTTCGTCCAGATGATGATGCGTCGAACCAGTGGTGGCGGCGGTAGTGGTAGAGTGCATAGAGACCACAGAGTTGGGACTATGCAGACTGTGATGGGGATGGTGATGGTGATGATGGTGGCTCAGGGAAGCGTGCTGCGACGTTAACCCGCGACTCAGTCCGCTGGAAACCGACGAGTCAACGTTCTTCGTTCCACCGATGCAGCTATTTTGCAGCTCGAAACCGCTTACTACGAATCAACAAGAAACTCCATTTCTATTTATCGTGTATAATTTGTACATCTTAGAAGTTGTTTTCTAGTTTATTTTTTTTTTATTTTTTTTTAATGGAAAATAGTTTATTTGATTTATTATATGAAGTCTCTTGCGCGCGCGTAAATCAGATATTATTAGTCTTTTCTTCTCACGTTACAAGACGGAAGTAAATTTTTCTATGTGTAAAACTTGCATAACTCTTGATTTTATATATGTATAATTCAATATGTATACTTCCAGTTTATAAAGAAAATTGAGACGAGCAAACAATAATTTCCAAGATAACGATCGGATTTACTCCGAGAACATGGACAATGGGGCAGCAGATATTCGTTGCCTTTCGTCATCGATCGGTCGATCCGCGTGCAAGTGAACGCGCGTAGCGCGTTTCCCAGAAATCTCGTCCGGGCAAAACAATTGACCTATTTAAGAGGAACTTGTACCTCTCTTGGACACCCGAGGCCTATATGGGTTTTATGTTTAGTGCCAGGAGTCGATATATGAAGCGATAAACCACGAGTGAGAGAGAAAAGCGCTCTTGTGCGCGCCGTAACGATATTCCGAGATATAATCGCCTCCTCAAATTGATTCTTTGAGCAAGCGCAAGTTTACAAATGTTTTTACACATTGCGACTTTTTATTCAGAAAAAAGTTTTTAATCATGCGTAGGTGGACGTAATCAAACAAAATCTCCTTTTGATCAATATCAAATTGACAATGATAATACATACAACGTACAACACAGCGTTTTGCTGAGGATTCACCATTTCAAACTTTAATTATCAATACAAATTGCATTATTTATACATATTGAGATATGTATAAAACAAGCTTAAAAATATATAAAAAAATATACAAGTGTAGAATTCTGATAACGCTAAATTGTCTTCCTCGATGCACAGGTTTCATTATAAAAACATTAACAATAATTTGTGTTTTTCTACGATACAATATAAAATCGCAAAACGAAGAGAGAGTCGGAAGTGCGCGTGTGCTGCACACAAACTAAAGAGAGAGAGAGAGAGAGAGAGAGGAAGGGAGAGGATGGGCGAATGCATCGGTGCCCCGCGGCACGTGTAACTGGAACTGGATGTAACTGGACACCAATAACTTACGTGCGCGCCGCAGGCGAAATAGGGAAGAGAAAGAAAAAGAAAAATGGAGATAAAAGCGAATGAACCTGAGGCGAAACAAAATGTGGAAGGATAAAAGTCGGCTCTGATTGGCTGGTTGACGGAAATTTGTCTATATATAATATACGTTTAACAAAACGTCATAACTTTAATGACATTAGCATGTAACGGTCAATAAAAGCAACGCAAACTTTGTACTTTGTCTTTGTTTTCGACTTCGAGAATTAAGTCTATTTACACGTACTTAAATCTATTACATAGATTTATAATTGTTCACAAGTGTTACAAACAAACTCTGCGTTATAAATGATCTATAATAAATATCAATTTGAACACTGTATAAAAAAATATTTATTATTAAGTCTACATTACTGTGTGTCTTCTAGTTCTGTTTGTTTGTGAAAGAAAATTTGATTGTTACAAAACGAAATGCGGAACACGGAACAGATCATAGAAGTTATACGGTCGAAGAGTAAATCCGCGGTTTTAACACCTCTGTGTAATTGACATCTTACTACAAGTCGTTAACCGCGGACATTAACGGCCGCTACAAATTGCTTTGCACACGCGTAAAACACGAAGGAGAAATTATCAAGGTAAGATGACGATTGCAAAGAAACCAAAGAAAATGGACCATAAGTATTATATATCTTGTCAAGTTACTCCGTTGCAGTAAGAATTTGTGAATGCAAAAAAATATTTCTCACTTATTGACAGTTGCTTTTACAAACAACAACAAAAACTGCAAGCTATGTACATTTTCGTTTTTTTATAATTTTCAAGTACAGTTATAAATTTATAATTGTAAAAAAACATAAAAAATAAAAATAATATACCATAAAAAATTATGGGCAAATTCTAATTAAAAACATAAAAAGCTTAATAATAATGTAATGTAACGTAATAATATGCATTACATAACATTTTATTAAATTTCAACCAATTAAAAATACAAAAATGAAATATTCTAAAAAACAACTGGAACATTTATCTTTATAATTATAAGCAAGTTTACTTTTTTTAGTCTCTCTATCGATGAGCAACGTATAAGATATATAAATGGTATATATTTATTCAGAAGTAAAGCGATACTGTAATTGAAAATAGTTTATGATGCTCGCGATAAGTTCTCGGAAATACAATGATCGGTCGTGACAAAAGTCAAACGTATATCTCGATCCGTTATACGAGATATATATGTTATGTATCTACTACATCGCCATATGAGTTCGATGATACTGTTACCGGTTCGTGAAAACGCGAACACGTGCTCCAGGCTAGAAGATGGATTCGCCAAACAAGATGTCCGTGTCCGACACGGACACTGGGGTGTAAAATTTCCCGGTATATCGTACAGCAGGCCTCATCCTGGCCAAAGAGTGTTGTGGAAACAAGAATACGCATCGTATCGGGACGTGTTCACGCATCGCCGACACGACGATCGATTGGAGATGATCTCACGTATGTCATGCACAACCTATACGCTCTTCGCGCTTTTCGGATGACGCGGATTGACTCTGCGCAAGCTCAGCATAAAGTTAATCGGTCAACGAAATCAGAAACGTAAGCATGACGTGGATCCGTAATTCGTAATAGCTATATACGTTAAATGTATTGACAGATTTTGGAAATTTACGTTGAATTTATTGAACAATTAAAATAGAAACAAATAGTAAGTTATTTGCTTGATTGTTCTTGTGCTAAAAGATCTCAAAACGGTTAAAGATATAATAAGACGAACAACATTAAATTACCAACTAGTGAACGCATTAAATATTTGACAAACATTTTTTGTCTGTCAAATAATATCTTATTATTGTCAAATAATATCATATAGTGTTTATCAAATTTTAGAAATACAATATTATAATACATTATAAATGTAAAATATAAGAATTATTATTATAAATATAAGAAAATATATGTTATTATTATAAATATAAGAATTATAATTTTATTTCATATATTATTGAAAATACTCATCTTTTAATTTATTTTATAAAATTATATATCATATGAATGTATTTTATATCTTTGTTACACAAAACTATGTAACTATTTTTGAGACTATCATGATTTCCATTCTTTCTTTGTTTATAATGTTAATTAATATCATTTATTTGTGGCTATTTTAGCGTTACGTAATAATATTAAAGCAAAATACAAGATCGTATTCTACGCGGATTTATCTTTGATGGTCACATTGACATCAGTTTCTTTTCTCGGAAATACAAATTTTTCCGTCGCGAAACAGGCGCACGTATTCTCTATCGTCGTGAACGAATACAAATTTCAGAAATTTTTTGGAAGACCGAGAGGAGAGAGAAAGAAATAGAGAGAAGGAAGGAAGAGAGAGATTTTAATGTAGCGACGCGTATCTCTCTTTTCAAATCCTGCTGCTATCGGGGAGTGTACAATTTCCTGCGCAGCGGGAGTCAGGATCATCCTGGTACACACAAGGAGAGACAGTGTTTTGAAAACAAGGAACGCTACCGTACTCGGCTATTGTCATAACATCGATCCGCAATGATCTGATGGCCGCGACAAACTATATTACATGTACATGACAGCTCTTTCTCTCTCTCTCTCTCTCTCTCTTTCCATTCAGAAGAGAATATATAGTCTCTAATACTGATAAACCAAACTTGTGCCGAACAGTGTAACCGATCTTGACGAGAAACTATACGATATTATTGCTGACAGTCGAAAGTATTGTGCAATCGAATGATCGAACCGATCGATTCTAATCAAGTACGCGAATTAATCGTCACATCGTGATTCTGCAATCAAAATCTATAATTGAAAACTTGATCGCAAGAAAGTAGATAAATCAAAATATGAGAATAGAAACAATAAAGTGGAAAAAATTGGCACGAACTGCGAAATTAAATACTTCGATAATCTTCAAAATTAAAAAAACTGATTTTTTCCGAACGAGCAATGTCAATTTGATATCGACCGGAAGTTCAACGAGAAGGCAATCTCGTGCGCGATATACACTGACGACGCGAAAAGAAACGGAAACAACAGACAAGACGTGTAACGCGTAGAAGGTATATCGATTAGCCGAGGGGGCAAAGTCGATCTCCGGAGCGAAGGTCATCGTCGCTGTCTTCATCGTCGTTGGCTTAAGGCCGACGGTATAGAAAATCGTGGCATTCGCATTCCTGAAATGCTGCTGGGTTGAACGAGGAATCGGCATCCGGCGCCGATAAGCGAAATACAATACGTCGTGACATCACGCTGCTCGCACGGTGAATATAACGAAAGAGATACAGCCATCTCATCTTCGAAGACGTACGATCCCCGAGCTCTTCAACATACGCATCGTCATCGACCATCATATTTTCCGACAAGCACGTATACATATAGAAAAATACACAAAGCATACAGACAAACATATTATACATATATATATATATGCATATATTGTGTGTGATATGTTCTATGAAAACATTAGAATTGACACCTCTTAGAAAAACTCGATTAGATAAGAGATATCGAGATATTGAACAGAAGAAGTTAATTAAATCAAAGTTCTTTTTTTCGATTGGCATTGCCGCAATCATACGACGTAGACGATTCCGTGAACTCATTTCACATTGTGCAAATTGCAAGCACGGCGAAACACGCGGCGACGGAAAAGCAGCAATTGCATTTTTTTTTCGTATCCCAAATAATCACGTCTCCATGTATGAAGGTCGATATTTGTGTAATATTTATTATGTCAGTACGAGGTCTCTTCGAGCTGATCGTCGCATTCCATCCAGAAATTGCGAAATACACGCGACTTGCACAACACTTTTGCTCTTGATTTGGATTTTGTAAACGTAATCTTTTCT